ATTGGGAGTTCAGGAGGCCTGTCAACTCCCTAAATTAATTGTAAAATTTTGTATGATAGGCATGTTTCTGAAGAGAAAGCTCATTGATTTTTCAAGATTCTCTAAGGAGTCTGGGACTCTTCAAAAGTTAAGGGCCATTGACTTAGACACTGTTTGTTTGTTACTTTGGGTTGGTGAAATTTTTGGCAGCCAGATCAGAATTGGCAGTTATCTGAAACTCCCAGTTCAAGAATTGCAGACAGATTCCTCCGTCACTAAGAAAGTAACCTAAATGGCTTCAGAGGGCCACTGTGCATCTATATGGATCCATTAGGGGCATAAATGCCCTGTCTAAAGGGGGCAGCCACAACTCAGTTTGAACCAATGGTATTCATGTCTGCATGTGAACCTGGAACTGCCAGATCTATCAGTTTTTCAAGAGAAGCCAGAAATCTGGATTTTTATGTGACTCTCCCCATTTTTAAATGTTGGCTTAGTGTTTTTTAAAAATAATGCAAAAGACCAAACAAAACACATCTATAGGCCAATAGTTTGCAATATCTGCCCTGAGTCTTTTTTCATGTGAACTGCTTTTAAACTCTTCCCCTCTCTGTTTAAGAGAGTCTTTGAAATTAAGTGCTAGACTTTATGTGTCTCCCCTTTGGTTTCATCTTGCTAATGTGGCTTGATTGTTCCAGCCTGTAGAGACCTTTTGGAACCTTGATGACCTTTCCATTTTTCATTATTGGTGTTGCCAGACATGCCTTCTTTGTCTTCATTCAAGTTGTAGATGAAAAGGTTGAACAGGATGAATTCAGAGCAATGTGGTATGTGTTTTGAGACTTCTTGTTCTTTTCTTATCCTCATTTTAGCACAGAATGTCAGGCCAGAAAACAAAGGATTTCTTCCTGTCATCAGTGTCTGTCCAGGGCCATGTTTCTTAATTTTTCATGTCTTCATTTTCCTCAGAAAAAAAGAGGAAACTTGCCTTTTTCTCTTTCCATAGAGATATAAAGATTTCTTAATTAAATCAGCAAAGCATGTTGCCTTCCAAGGAGAAAGTGTTCCTTGCTTTTCACCTTCAAAATTAGTATATCATCTAATTCAGATGTTAGAACAAAAATAATTGTGCTCTCCAAGACACTGAGCTAGGTAGATGGTGGAACTTCATAGCACAGCATTGATCTTTACGTGCGATTATGAGTCTGTAATTGTTAGCTCCCTAGCATGATGATTTGAACTGTTTCCCTCCATCACTTCAAATTTATCCTTTCCCTCATCCTCTCTTTGGGAGGAAAATGAAGCCCATTGATGGAAGCAAATAAATGGCATTGGTATTAAAGGGACCATAAATCGTTGGGGGGGCGGAGGGGTAAGCAATTGTCATTTGCTTCCTCCTACTGAAACATACTAAATCTAAAGTAATTGAACTTTTAAAGCACAGGCTGAGATTTTTCCACTAATGACTGAGATTGTTTAGGCATTTTTGCTTCCTTTCATTTTTTTTTTAATTTTATTTTTCAGAATGTCTGCAGACAACACTAAACTTCAGAAATTGCTGAGGCCTTAGATTAACCTGGGAGTGCAGAAAGATTCAGTGGGGCAGTGCTGGAGTCAGGTCATAGTTCAGTCTTTTGTAGGGGCATGGTGTCCCTGGTTTTGATTGGGGCTCTCCACCATTCCCTAACCAGAATTTCTTACATGTGGTGCAGAGGTCAATGTAGGCTTGCCTTTATTTGACAAGTTGAATACAAGTGAATGTTCAGTTTTGCCTAGAGTACTAGAGCACTATTGACCGTAGCTGAGGCAAGGACTTCTAGAATGTCCATTATTTAGCACTATAGTGACTCAGTTCAGTCTTATAACTATGCTTCATCCTGTTAACTGTACAGGAGTTTTAATGGTGCTTTTTGGCAGAGTGTTATATCTATTGCATATTGGAACCCTTTGCCACTTGTCCTCCAAAATCTTATTTTTAGACAACCTATAAGAATCCAGACAGCAATATCTTCTCTCTCTTCTATGTACAAGACTGAGCATTTTATTTGAATCTCTAAGGATTGGAGTAATTGGACATCATCACTCATGTTCCATTGGTTGGCAGCCTGGTCAAGTGAAAACTTGAACTTTGAATTTAAATTTTGGCTTGGCCACTCTCTATCTGTGTGACCTTGGATAAGTTACTTAACTTCTCTGAGCCTCAGGTTATTCATCTGTGACATGGTGGTGATAATATGTACTTCATCATAGTGGGGATTAGAGTTAATTATTTTAAAGCACCAAGCACAATGTCAGGATTAGTCTTGCTTAGTAAATGGTAGTTATACTTCTGTTGATTATGATGTAACCCACTGAAAGATCAGTGTTCCTAATTCTATGCATCTAGGCGTTTGTCAGGCTCCTGTGGCTTTTCCGTCAGCTCCACACTTTTCCATCCCTGCGGCCTTGCTTTAAAGCAACTCTAGGTTTACTTGATCTGAAAGCCTCCTTACTGTCCTCAGTGTGCTGTTCTCTGTAAATGAAAATTGCAGCACGCCTTCCCTGTGTCCAGAATATCTGCTGTTGCATCAGAAGAAGTAAAGGGCTCTGTTCTTTTGTCCTGTCCTTAAGACCCACATCAGACTTTTGCCAGGGCTGCCCTTCAGAGGTTTAAGGCTCTTGAGAGGTGGGTTTGCACAAGAGTGAGGGTTATCATTGCTTCATGCTTTTCCTGTAGTGCCCACTAATCTCCACATTTGTGCCATGAAAGGATGCTCTTTTTGGTCTCCCATTCTGCCTGCAATTTTTCTCATGAGCAACCGGTAGATGTCTTAGCAAAGAGCCTCAGAGTAGGTGCAAACTGCCCTGTATGTGCA